TTCGCGATGTCGGGCAAGGGCAGGTCAACTTCCCCTCCGAGACCGTTGGCCACGAGTGCTCTTCTTCTAATTATTGCGTTATTGGTTTATTTTTCGAAAATCCTTGACCTACATGTTTGTACATGTTTGAATCCCATATTCATTTTCTCATTCGACAGTCTTGTCGATGACCCTCAGCTCTCCATTGTTTTATGTATAACGGAAAAGAGGATTAATAAATATAGCCTGACTTAAAGTTTCCGGTATTTCGTGTAGAGCTCAATGCGAGGCAAAATTGGTTTAGAACATACAAAATAAATCTATGGAGTTTTGATTTCACGTTTGTAGAAAATTACCGACGTGCACTGGGTAATTAGATAATTTGCTGATATAGTGTATAGGGGATTTTATATAAACTTAATGATGTACCAGTGCTTTTGTATACTCAAATAATTTTAATGAATTCTTAAGACCACAATGGCTAAAGTAACTCAACGCAATACATTTTTTCGTATAAAGAAATAGCACTATTGTAAATAGGCAGGCAATTCTCCAATCCTTATAATAGGAATATTTTGGAAAATGTGGTGTAATGGCAAATAAAACCTGGAAATCTGAAACATCATTACGTCCACGTGTCATTATTCACTGTTTTGAGACTGTGAGGACGACCCCATCCGCGTGTAGCTGCTCCTGCCTAGGACGCTGCCTATAATTATCTCGGGGAGATGCCCCACGTGTTCCAGGAGAGCCTGCGCCTGGGCGACCGCCTTCGCCCCAGCTATCTTTAAGATGCCTCTACTAACCCTCTAACAGCGTTTGAATCGTTTTCTTTTGTGTCAAATTTTTCCTGCCAGAATCCCGTAAAAGAGTAAATGGAAATAGAGAGTTTTTATGTAGGCTTTTGTCGCTTAGGGGAATATTTATAAAACTTTTTTGTATAGTCACATATTTGTGATATATTATTTGCATTCATCGATTTTTTCATTGATTTGCTTAGCTTTTAAACGTACCAGAACTTCACTAAAATATGAGTACCTTTTTCAAATGGGTGAGAATACACACAAAAAAAAAACGACAACATAGAACTAGTGTGTTACAGAATGGTACAGACTTTCCTGTATTAGTTTTCTTTTTCCTTTGGTCTCGGCTTGCTACTCGGAATTGCCACACTCTTGCCGATTGCTATCTATCGCCGCCCAAAGTTCATTTTTTGTCGTTTTCTTATTACTTCGGCTTAGAGCCGTTTTTGAGAAAACTTTTTTAAATTGCACATAATACATTCAATATTACCTGAAAACAACTAAATTTTCAAAAACAAAATCCACGTGGCCTTAATGAAGGAACTCACTATGGAGAACAAATTTTATTTGAAAGAAAAATCTCTTACTTTAACATTTTATAGTTGTAGAAAGACGCCCGAAAAATTCAAAATTTCACAATTTTCGATAATTTAGAGTTAATCCTGCCACCTGTGCCACCTTTAGAAGTGTATTTTACTCTATTCTTAGTAGAAATTTGAAGAACAAATTTGGAGGGGTTTTCTAGAAAATTTTGAAACTGTCCGGGGGTCTTTATGTAAAGTATTTCCAAAACTTAATTAATGATTTTCAAAATCGCAGAACTTTAACTCAAGCCGATCGAGACGGTTTTATTCAGTTTGGAAAACATCACACGCGTAGTTTATATGGGAGTTTTCACATACACCAGACAGACAAACGGACGGACAGACAGACGAATATTTGAGAAAAAAAAAACATTATTTTTTCGGTATCAGGAGCCCCCAAAACGTGTATATGCGTTGAAAATTCGAAATTGATTTTCCGCAGCATTACATAATTTTTCCTATACTACGTATATTACTCCGTATGTATATGAAAAAATAAAAAGTAATAATCGGCGAGACAATTGCGAGCCTATAACTTCATTATACACTATTTATATATATATAAATAATATATAATACAATAAATACAATATAATACATTATTTATATAATATATATTTTATTTTGTCGTTATAGTCTCGTCGATTATTACTTTTTACTCTTACTTTTATATAAATAAAACACACAATGACTTTGCAAATCTGACTTTCGGATCCATAGTAAATGCATTCACCTCTCCAAGATGCACAGAAAATATATGATGAAGGTGCTGTTTGCCTTTGGATAGAACTTGCTCGCGTGGCCGTGAGAGCCTGGGGCTTCCGTATATCCTTCGCGTGGAAGTGCAGCGGCGAGGGCGGGCGCAGAGGGTCGTCGTGTCCGGGGCGGAGCAGCGA